TTAATTGCTTTCCAAAATTGCCTGAGAAATTTTGGAAAAATTGCTCTGGATCGTCCGGGATAATATTTTATAGTCCAGGACAATCCACCGGGACGATGTCAAAAAATAAGTTATTTCTCAACAAATCTGGCGGCAGATTCTTCCTGTTTTGAACCTGTCATCTTGGCCGATACAAAATCGTCCAGAACGATGTGTTTTGCATAGAGACGACTGCTTTAATGAAGATGTCCTAATTAGGGTTTCTGCTTTTGAATAGATCGTCCCGGGCGATATAAATATCGTCCAGGATGATATTGCCAAAAACAGTAAACTCTAGGGAACAGTCAGAAACTCTTATACGTTACACAGCATCATGAGCCACAATAAATACAATAGACTTAAGAAAGGAAAAAGTGTACAAACTAACTCAAACCTAGTCTACCCAATCTTGAGCTGATTCCAAATTGCAGTCCGATCGTGTGAACCTGAAATGTTAGTAGAAAGCAGTCATAGAGAAAAAGAATGTTTGCTATCATCAAAATTATAAGCCATAGATCCGCAACAATTGTTAAGTCCATTGGCACTCTTTTAATGAATGTTTTGTGGCTCATCCAAATTTAAATAAAGGGAGCAAAGATAGGAAAAATGTGAGTAATTTTGATAACAATGATAGTGATGACTATGAGACTCATATCCCTTTAGAAATAATTGATCAAGACAACATGGCTGCCATCCCTACAGATATTCCTAATAATTATGAAGAAACTAATGATGGAAAGCTTTCTTTAAAAGAAACTCAACTGGTGCCTCCTAAGGATGGATCGGTTGGTAATGTCATAAAAGAGGAAGATTTGGATGCTGGAAGATTGTCTTTGAAGGATTCGATCCAAAATGGGAATGGAGAGGTTGATTCATCCAATGTGAGTTATGATGGAGATGAGATGCATAACCATTGTACTTTAAATGTTAGCAATGATGAACAAGTAGAGGGTGAGAAAGGTGATAAGGAGGAACACATGGAGGCAAGGTAAATTGTTCTTAACAGGTTTGATTTATTAGGGAAATCTGTAAGTATGAATGATGTCTCTATGTTGTCTACTCCCTCTAATGCCAATAAGATGGACGATGGTTTTACGAAAGTGGGAAAGAAGAAATCTAAAAATAGAAAACTCTTTGAAGGTAATTCTTCTAAAGTTACTAGAGCTTCGTATAATTCTTCTATCAATGGTTAAAGACCTTATATAGAATATAAGGGGGGAGGGGAATCCTCCTTCTATGTTTAGGGTAAAAAATTTATGCAGGATTTATAATATTAATATTTTGGTTTTACTTGAACCTTTCATTCTGGCTTCCAAGATGATTTCCATGTGCCCTAAACTTGGGTTTGATTGCTCTTTTAGTAACTGTACCAAAAAAAAATTAGATTTTCTGGAGACAATGGGTTAATCTAAGCATTCTTAATGGTTTTCCTCAAATTGTGCACACTAAAATAAATTTTTATTTATTTTCATGCGTTGCTTCTTGTGTATGCCTCTTGTTCTAAGAGTGGAAAGGAGAAGTTTATGGAAGGAAATTATGGAATTTTCTTCTAATTATAGTTATACGTGGATGGTTGGTGGTGACTTCAATACCATCACTAATGTTTCTGAGAGAATTGGGGATAAACCACAGAATTTTCAAGCTTTGGAGGATTTTAATGATACAATATTAGTTTTTAATCTTCATGATATTGGTTTTAATGGCAATGGCTTTACTTGGAATCAAGGCACTATGTGGCAAAGTTTAGATCATATTCTTTTTAATAATATTTGGATTAGTATGTATCATAACACCCATGTTGAGCATTTGTCTAGAACCCTCTTTGACCACGCTCCTTTACTTTTGAACAATTCTATGAAGGACAATTCAACTGTGTCTAGTTTTAGGTTTCAAAATATGTGATTTTTTGCATTATTTACTTCTTACTAATATTGAACCTAATTAGCATTCCAATAATAATTGTTTTGGTATGATTCATCTTTGACTTAAGCTCAAATGATTAATGAAATATTTAAATTGGTGGAATAGATCTAATTTTAAGAATTTATTTACTAATATTATGGAAACTGAGAAACAAGCTTATTTAGCTTACAATATTTATATGAATCTCCCTTATACGGTTAACCTTGTTTCTTTAAATAAGGCCAAGGGCACTTTAGTTAAGCTTCAAGAACAAGAAGAAGCTTATTGGAAATAAAAAGCTGCTTGCAAGTTTTTAGTTGAGGGAGATAGAAACAGTAAATTTTTTCACAATATTGCTATTCATAAAAAAGTTTCTAGTTACATTCACAAGATATCCTCTCCTGAAGGTCAACATTTCGAGTCTCATGAGTTGATTTATGATTCTGGTGTCAAGTATTTTAAAGATGTGGTTAACAAAAAACTTTTCTCCTAATTTTGATTTGGATTTTACTCTTATTCCTTCTCTTCTGTCTGAAGAGTATAACATTATGCTCACTAAAATTCCGTCTGAAAGTAAGATTGAGTCGGTTGTTAAAGATATGAATATTGATTCTATGGCCGGACCTGATGGGTTTACTACTAAATTCTTTCAAAAAACTTGGCATATTAACAAAGGGGACTTAATTAACATTGTTATTGACTTCTTTAGAGCTAATCCTTACCCAAAATTTTTTACTTCCATTTCTATTATTTTGATTCCTAAAAGTGATGTTACTAACTGTTGGAGTGATTTTTGCCCGATTAGTCTGTGCTCTTCTTTTAATAAGTTTATTGCCAAATTAATTATGTCTAGATTATCGTTAATTCTTCTTAATATCATTTCTCTTGAGCAAACTAGTTTTGTTAAAGGGTGATCTATTTTTGATAATGTTTTATTAGCTTAAGAAATTGTGCATGATTTAGAGGCTAAAATTGTGGGTGGAAATGTCATTTTAAGATTGATATTACTAAAGCTTATGATAATTTGAATTGGGATTTTCTTTACATCATGCTTCAGTCTTTTGGTTTCAATTAAGACTTTATTAGGATCATTAAGAATAGTATTGAACATTATTTTTTCTATGTGATTATCAATGGTAAAAATCATGATTTTATTTATTCTAGTCATGACCTTAGACAAGGGATCTCTTATCTCCTGGTTTGTTTATTTTAGCTGTTAAATTTTTTTCTAGAGGTCTTAATGATCTCTTTTATTATCACCCTAATCTTCAATACCATTCTAACAGTGGTTTGGTGGTGTCTTATTTAAGTTTTGCTGATGATTGCATCATATTTACTGATGGCTCAAGGAAGATGCTTTTCAAATTTCTTGGTCATTTTCAAAGAGCCAATGGTTTAATTTTTAATCACATGAAAAATTGTTTTATCACTGCTAAATCCATAACTCAACCAAGAATCTCTTCTATTCAGGAAAAAGTATGGTTTTTTCATAAGAAACTCCCTCTTAAGTATTTAGGTACTCCTATTTATAAAGGTAGAAAGAGATCTCTTTTATTTGCGGACATTTTCTCTAATATTCAAAAAAAAAACTTTCCACTTTGGCCTTTAATTTTCTTTCTTTTGGGGGAAGATTAGAGTTAATTAAAAGTGTGCTTTGTTCTATTCATATATAATTATTTCACACTTTATCTCTGACTAAGAACACTTGCACTAAACTTGAAAGGATTTTTATCAAACTCCTTTGGGGGGGTGGGCAAAGAAAGTAAATATGCTATTTTATGGGCCTCTTGGGGTAGATGTTCTGGTGTTCAGGATGAAGGAAAGTTGGGCTTTAAGAACTTAGGTGACATGGCTCTTTATTTTTCTTACAAACTCTGGCTTAGTTTTTGGTCCAAAAAAAACCTTTGCTCGAAGTTTATGATTGCTAAATATTGTATTGGTAAGCATCCTCTTAATTATTTTTTTTCAAAATGGGAGACTCTTCCGATTGGAAAAGTCTTTGTTCTATTAAATGGGAGGCCAAAAATTTCATTCAATGGAGCCAAAAGGCTTATAATTACTGTAGGGTTGTTTCAATTAAGTATTATTATGGTTTGTATTTCGGTATTAAGTGGCAGGTTTTGTACAATGCTGCTTTGAAGAATGTTCAGTCAACTGGCTGTTTGGTGATTTATTTGTTATTCTGGAAGCTCATTCCTCGAATTCACACTGCTAGGCACAAAAGAATGCATTCTCAACTTCTGTTATTTTTTATTTGCCTTTATTCGATTATCATTATTTCATACATCATTGTTATTCTGCATTCTCCTAACGTTGATAACATGGCTCTCTACTTGATGATCTTTAAGGAGGGTAGGATTCATGTGGATGATATCCTTTGGTCTTATTTTGATTAGATATAAACATGCTCTTTTCCTGGTTTACTTGCTCTTGCTTTGTAGTTTGATTATTTTGCAGATTGAAGGGCTCGAGAATTTTAGGAGCAAGATGATTAATTATGATAAGAAGATGGCGCTAAACTTATTATCTTTTTTCTTCCTTTTTCGTCTAAGCTCCTTACCAACAAATCAAGATGAATTGTATATGTGCTATCAAACTTCCCATTATATCCCTTTGTTGAGCAATAACATAAAATAAGATACCACAATTGAAGACTCGCGGATCATTTCATCCAAAATGACAGAATATATGTAGCGAAAAAAATCTAGCTATCCTATAAAAAATAAAGGTATCATATAGAGCGGAAAATAGTAAATGCAATCTGATGTAAGGAGGAGAGGTTAAGAGCTATCATTATTTATCAAACATGTTTAATTGTAAAGGAAAGCATTAAATTGGAGAATGGAAAAATTAAATAAAAAAGCGGCGAGTACAGCCTTAACATCATGAGGATCTTCATAAAGGCCACCAAAATCACATTGACAACCAAAGCTTGTGCCTATTATCAACCATGGAAAAAATAGCCCTTGCACGATCTAAAAAATATAATTTTATTAACCAAAGGTCAAATGTAGAGGGAGTAATGTGAAGGTGTCGAGTTGATCTAAAAAATGCCGAACAATCACATGCAAGCTTACTTATACAATCAAGAGGAAACTTATCGAAATTAACTTAGAATTTCCTGATTGAAGCTTTAGTAATAGAAAAAGATTGCAAGGACAGTTCACCAATTCTAGATTAACACTCCAGGACTATCAGTTCATCCGGAGGGATTTTGATTTGCAGGTTATAAATGTGAGCATACTATATATAAAGGAGCGCTACTTAGTCCCTAGCAAAAGAAAGAAAGTTGACTGCCAACCTTCTCCAACATCTAATCAAACTGCATCTCCTGGGGCATGTCAAAAAGGGCACGCATTAAATGACTGGCTACATCCATCAGCTGCAGGTACTCATCAGCCCCATCAACTAGAAACTGAAATTAGAAAAATGAAACCAGATTTATGAATTGTAGACTATTCTTCACAAAATTATTTATTGTTCAAGAATCTTCTATCAACTTAATTACAGCAACAATAAAATTCAGACAACATGGAAAACAAATCTAAGAATCATCATCATAATTTCCGTAGATTATTAAGAAAATGAAACTAAAAACATTAGAAATATTTACTAGCACAAACCCACAATTATACAATTATATTAATTTCTGGCATATCAACCTATCTTCAATGCTGTATTTAAAATTTATCCAGGGATAACATCCAACCCTACCAGTAGCAAAACTCAAAATTTTATTTTCTTTTTTCAGGGGGCTTGAAAGGCATATGCAAAACTTACTCAACAATGACTAGCAAATTTCTCCAAGTGTTTAACTCAAATAAAATTGGGTAAATTATGTCATAATAACTTGGGTTTTAAAAAAGTATGTGTTATTACTATAATGAATGATATGAATTAATTTAATTGAAGTAATAAAATTGGCTGAATGAAAATCAAATACTGACTCAACAAACATGGACTCGGCAATTTGAAACTCGCCAAGTTCTAATGAATGAGTATGACCATGTAGGCGTTGCATAATGAATATAACAATACTAGTGTTGGGGGTACTTCTTGATAATATTCTAACATGGCTAGTTCATGGGGATAACTCCACTCATTTGACTCAGGCCAGTTCAATGAGTAAATAAAGAAATGTGTAATGACATAATAACATTCAGCTATTTATACCAACTCAGCAAACAGTGAATAAAGAGAATTTGTGATTGAGAGGAATCCTCATTATTATCTTAGAACTTGATGATGAAAGACCAAGATGACACTGGTTCATTGATGATAGATGAATTTATCATAGTGTCGCACTTGTGGGTAGATATCTTTAACTCAACATAGAGTCACCTTAGGTAGGCCTTGCGTTACGCCAGACTTTATAGTCATTGCGGGGGTAACCATCTAAACTCGTATGCTTAAAGGAACTCACATGGTACTCATTGCACATTATGTGACAAAGGGGGAGTCGCCTTTCAAAGTCGTAATTTGCATTTCTTTGACTCATCACGACATTTTACTCTAGACATTATATCTTCATGGGGGTAACCATCCAAACTCATCGGCTAGAAGTACGTATGTCTTGTTGTGCATCATGCCATAAAGGCGGAGTTACCTTCCAGAACTTGAGTAATGATTTTTTAGTTGTCTTTAGCTATGTCCCTATGATTATTTCTTAAAAACTAAGGGTAAACATATAGCAAATTTAGGGGTGTCAATTCGAGTCAACGGGTCGGGTTCGGGACCAACCCGAGTGGATCCATGCATAAACGGGTTGACCCGAACCCGACACGTTTAGCTAAATAGGTGAAGATTTCCAACATGGACCCGACCCGCACGAGTTACCGGGTTGACCCGACCTGAATCGCAAACCCGCGGCCACAGTGATGGACTGGCAGAGCCACGGATGCGGAGGAGGGCCTGGGCACCGTGGCCTTGTGGGTGACTAGCCAGGACGATGACCGCAGGTCGAACCTTCGGCTAATCTCGATATCGACGTGGAGCTCACGGTGTCTAGGGCCGCGATATGCCGATACCTACCTCGGTGACGGGACATTGGGACGCAGCTTCCACTTCCAATGCAGCTTGCAGGTCGGAGTGTCGGACCTTCAGGTAAGGCGGCGAGCGACCTGGCAAAGGCATATAACGGAATGGCAGAGGCATTGAGGTAAGGATTTTTTGGGCCGCAGCTCGTAGGTGCTGGCGTGTCGCGGTGAAACCAATGGGCGCAGTCGCGTGTCAGAAGTGTAATCCGGTCAATTCGGGTCGGGTTTCTAGGTCAACCCAAACCCAACCCGTTTTTCAAACGGGTCAAAAATCCGAACCTGGACCTGACCCATTTCACAAACGGGTTGACTTGAATCTAAATTTTTTAAGGTCAGGTCCGAGTCGGGTTTCGGGTCCTATAAATTTTTGACATCCCTAATTAAATTACTATACCATGCAAGTGCAAAAAAATAGAAATTTTAATATTTTCTTATTAATTTATTAGCATGAAGGGGTAGTTATGTTGAGTTTCTTAGAACCAATCAAACTCGTCGAGGTTACTCGATTGGAAACAGAGAGGTAACCTTGCCAAGCATAAACTTGCTTTCTTCATGGAGGCCTTAGCTCACTTGCAAGGCATGTGCACGAGGACTTCAATAAGCCAAAAATTAGTTTTAGTTTTTTAGGCTTGAACTTGGGCACATTATGTCGATCTTTAACCTAGTCAATCAACCTCTTATATTACAATGGTTGAGCCATTCTCACAAGTTAGAATTTTTCAGGGACCTCATTATTCACCAAGACCTAAAGTTGGCCAGCTTAGGATTCAACTAGTTAGGATAGGACATTAGCATGACCGTTATTTCTCAAATTGATGCTCACATATCATATGTGAGTTCCCTGAGTATTATTTTAAAAATTATACTTATTCCATTATTTATCTCCTAAGTCAGTGAGTCCTCATATTTCACTCGAGGAAGCAAGGCGAATTCCCTAAGTGCACATAAGGGGCAAGTTTCCTGAATATTCTTGTTTTTTTTTATTATTCAATAATTTTATAAGACTCGCAAAGATAGGAAGGAATAAAGAATAAGAAAATAATTTACTTAATTCCTATGGCAGAAAATATAGTTTAAAATAAAATGACTTTTATTAGAGACAAAAAATCTTTAGATCAACGAGACTCTAGCTTCTTGGTACCTAACTGTCTAAGTGTACTTGCAGTGATACGCTATATAGCTAACATTCTTTGTAATTATACAAGGTATTTCCCATGTTGACTTGAGTTTTCTGATAGAAAATACTTGAGTTTGCAAGTAACCCTAAGGGAAATACTTGAGTTTGCAAGCAAACCTAATAGTAATTGGTGAAAAACAACAAAAAACCCGCTGATTACAGAGAGAAATCAGCACTATGATGCAAAATTTTCAAGAAATTGGAGATAAAAACACAAGCAAACTTCTTCTATTCAATCCACGAACAAGGAAAACAATAAACGATAAAAGTTTCTTCAACTCGAGAGGAAGAAACAACTCTCCAAATCTCTAGCCAAGCCTAGAGCCCAAAGGAACAAACTCTAGATCTCAAATTTGATTTCAAAATCAAGATGCAACCTAATTCTAGCATTAGCAATAATTAAAGCCAAAGAAGAAATACAAAAATCCCTGAACAGCCTCTCATTCAAATATTTCCCTCCAAAGCAATTGTTAATCATGGTTTGGGACCCATATGAGCAGTCGGCCCCTTCCCTCTCCCTTCCCAGGGTAGGCGGCTGTAGTATAAAACCGGTCCACTAGGAGCTGGTTTAATAGGGACAGCTGGCCCCTCTTGGGCCAGCCTAACATTACTCCCCTCCCAAAGACTCACCATGTCCTCAAGGTGAAAAGAAGGAAATTGGAGCCTCACTCTCTCATATGGCTCCCAAGTGGCATCGAAATCGGGAAGATCCCTCTATTTGATAAGCACTTCTTTGTTTCCCTTTTTATCGGATCCGACTCCCCCCAGCTCCAATGGTTCTAAGACCAATTCCAAGTCCTCTATCAGTGTAATTGGCAATTATGCACAGATTGCATGCTCCCCTATAGCTCTTCTCAACTGTGATACATGAAAAACTGGGTGTATGGTGACGTATGGGATAACTTCAAATGATACGCCACTACTCCGCTCTTGTCCAAAATCTCATAGGGGCAAAAGTTCCTCGAAGCCAGTTTCTCGTTTTTCCTGTTGGCAACTCCTCTTATATCTATCTGCTTCGCTTCATCATGATTTGTAGTTCCCTAGACAAATGTTTCTTTAATTCCTCCAACACCTTATCCCTTTCCTCTAAATACTACTCAACTGAATAAACTGGTGTGCTCAATCTCCCAAAATGCACTAAGTGTGGGGGGATCTCTTTCATACAGTATTTTAAAAGGAGTCATTTGAGATGCAGAATTGTATGAAGAATTGTACCAATACTCAACCCATGCTAACCATTTAGCCCAAATCTGTGGCTTTTTAGAAACAAAACACCTCAAATAACTCTCCAAGTTTCAGTTCATCACCTCCGTTTGACCGTCTTTTTGTGGATGATAGACAGTGCTTTTCTTAAGAATAGTGCCAGCAACCTGAATAGTTCCCTCCAAAATTGACTGAGAAAAACTTTGTCTCGATCAGAGACAATATACTCAGGAATCTCATGTAGTCGAACCACCTCCCTAATGAATGTTTCTGCCATAATCACTACGGTGTAGGGATGTCGTAAGGGGATGAAATATGCATACTTAGTATGTCAACCACCACCATGATAACTGTGAACCCTTCTGATCATGGTAGGTCATTTATGAAATCCATAGATACTCCCCCCGCCCCCATACTCTGTTTGGAAGTGCCACGGGTTATAGTAGTCCTCCTGGAGCCATTATCATACATTTGTTTCTCTGGCACACTTCGCATCTCGCCACCATCTCATCAACATCTTTATACATCCCCTTCCAATAAGACTCAGATGCCAACCTTCTATAGGTCTTATGTACTCCTGAATAGCCTCCCACTGCACTGCCATGGAACTCATTTAACAAGTGAGGAATATATATGGAAGTTCGTGGCATCACAAACCTCCCTTGATACAACAGCCTCTCCTCCTCAATATAGTAACCAGAATGGCTACTATTATCCCTCATCAAATCCTCCCTGATCTTTCTCAACTCTTCATTCTGCATGCTTTCTTCCTTGATGGCCCCATAGTCTACCATCACTGGTACTGATACAGTCAACTCCTGAAGTTCCCCAACACATTTGGATAAGGCATCGGCCACCTTAGTTTTCACCCCAGGCCCAGGCCTGTAATGGATCTCAAAATCATAACTAAGAATTTGGACAACTATCTATGATGCTTCTCGATCACCATCATTTGCACCAATAGATACTTCATGCTCCTCTGGCCCATCCAAACAAAAG